TTTACTGTTAAGGTCATTTGAGGATCTGTTCCTCAGGGGTCACATGGGCTTGGGAGGAGCCTCTGGCTCCTTTCTTTTACCAGTTCCACCTATGTGAAGATAAGTCAAAGGTCCTGCTCGACCATGGTTGGCTTTGCTTGGAAACATGGAGGAAATGATTCTTCAGTGTTGACCCTCCTCTTTTAGGCTGGACACTGGTTCAAGTCCATCTCATGGGGTCTCCTCAGCCTCTATAGTATCATCAAAGTACAAATTATACAAAAATCAATATATAAAAATATGTAAACATATAAAACATAAAAATCAGTAGCTTTTTCTAGATACCAGTAATGCACCTGCAAAGCCAGGAAATTGGGGGGGGGGGGAATCTAATTCACAATAGCTTTAAAAAAAATTAAAAACTAAACCTTTGCAATGAAAACTTTAAAACACTGAATAAACTGAAGAAGACACTAGAAGTTGAAAATACCTCTCATGCTCATGGGCTGGAGGAATGTTCTGAAAATGACTGCTACCAAAGATGATCTAGAGATTCAACTTAATCCCCATCAAAATATCAATGACATTCTTCACATAACTAGAAAAAATAATCCCAAAATTCATATAGAAACTAAAAGGACCCCAAGTAGTTAAAGCAATCCTAATCAGAAACAGCAATACATTACAATGCCTACACTACAGAGCTACAATAACAGCCAGCAGAATGTATTACCACAAAAATAAACACAGACCAATGGAATAAAATGGAAGACCGTAAGTAAACCCACACAGGGTCAGTCACCTAATCCAACAAAGGTGTCAAAAATATACATTAGGGGGAAAAAGCCACTATAACCAATGCTGCTGGGAAAACTCATCTCTTACCCTTCATAAAAATCAGTTCAAGTGGAACAAAGACTTTAATGCAAAACCTGAAACTCTGAAACTGCTAGAAAAAAAAAAAACTTTAATAAAAAACTGGACTGATATCTTGAATACACAACTCAAAAGAAATACAAACAGCCAATATATATTTGAAAATGTCCAGTATCTTAACCATTAGAAGCACTGACAACAAATGCTAGTGAGAGGTGGATATGGGGAAATAGAAACTCTTGTGCACAGCTGTGTAAAACTGGGGCTGCCACTATGGAAATCAGTACAGAGGTTCCTAAAAAACTAAAGGATGACCATAAGATTCAGCTATACCACTCTTGAACACATACCCAGGGGAGTCTAAGTCAGCAAACAATACAGATACTTAAGCATCCATGTTTACTGCTACACTGTTCACAACAGGCAAGATGAAATACCAGCCAAGTTGTACATCAACATATAAGGGATAAAAAAAAGTGTGGTAAAAATACACAAATATATTCAGCTGTCAAGAAAAATGAAATTGTAGCATTCAAAGGAAAATGCATGAAACTGGAGATTTATGTTAAACAAAAATAGATTCTGAAAGGTATAACTTATGCTTTTTCTCACATGCAGAACACAGAATTATGTGTGAGTATAACATGAAAGTAGAAAAACACGGTCTAATGGGCACAGGGTAAGTAATGTGAAAAAGAAGTGAAATATTTGTATAATGAAAGCAGTGGGAGGCATTTCAGGGGAGAAAAAGACAGGAAGAGAGGGGGAAGTGATGGGGGGGAGTGAAGGGCTTCAGAACGAGGAATAATGATATGTACGCATGAAGATGTCCCACAGCAAAACCCATTTCTTTTCATGCTAACAAAGACTAAAAGAAAAAATACAAGCAAAGAATAAAAATGTTCATCAGAGACACGAGAAGGGGGCTGCAGTGTGCAGAAGGCAGCATGGAGCTGTTAGCTTTACCTTTACAGTCTTAAGTGATAAACCTGTGATGAAAGAAATATAGTAAGAGGTACAATATTCACAGGACAAAGAAAACTCAAAAACAAGGAACAGATGAAGGCAGGAGGATCATAAGCTCAAGGCTAGCCTGGGCTACATAGCAAAAACATTGTCTGAAAAATGTGTACACACACACATTAGGAACAGAATCTAGACATGTATTAAAATTATGGTATAATATGTTACACTTTAAACTTATGCCACCCTCCAGTCCTGAATTCAATGCTGACTTCATACTAGAAATCAATTAATTGTTAAAATATACCCCATAACAGATTAAAGGATGCAAACTATAAAATCCTCTACAAATACAAGAAAAGGTATTTAAGATTCAATATCGACTTATCTGCTAAGTAACAAGTAAAGGGCTGGAGAGATGGCTCAGCAGTTAAGAGTACTGGCTGCTCTTGCAGAGGACTCAGGTTTGATTCCCAGCACCCACATGGTGGCTAACAACTACGTAACTCCACCTTCAGGGGACCCAATGCCCTCTTCTGACTCCACAGGCATTGTATGACGTGGGTGCACCTACATACATGCAGGTGATACACTCATACACATATAATTAAAAAGTAATAAATAAAATTTTTTAAACAACTAAACAAAAACACTTTAGCAATCTAAGAATAAAAAATAACTTCATGGGGCTGGAGAAATGGCTCACTGTGTAAAAGCACATTCTGTACAAGCATGAGGAAGGACCTGGGTTTGGATCAACCACGTAAAAAGACATGCTTGTTTGAATCCTCAGAGCTGTGGTGGGTAAAGACAGGAGGGTCACCCAGGCTTGCTGGCCACCGGCCTAACTCCAGGATCAGTAAGAGATCCTACCTCAAAGGAATAAGGTAAGGGGACAACTGAAGTCCCCCTATGGCCTCTGCAGGGGTGCAAACCTGCCAAAAAACACATATGCATATACCACACACATATAAACACAAGAACTAATAAAAATAAAATGCCTTCATTTACCATGATAAAAAGTAATCTACTAATACTCAAAAACATGCTAAAAGTTTCCCCTTTGAAATCATGAACAATGGTGGCTGTTATTACCTCAATTCATCATGATCCTGAGGGTCTCCAGTACCATGAGACCAGCGGGGGGTGGGGGGGAAGGGAGCGAGGGTGGAGAGGAAGAGAAAGGAAAAGGGGAGAGGGTAGGGAGAGAATTTATTTTTTTAATATATTTATTATTTTTTTTTATGTGTATGAGTGCATTGCCTGCATGTACGTGAGTGCACTCGTGTTGTGCAATATTGCGAAGATCAGAAGAGGTCGTCAGATTCCCCTGGAACTGGAGTTAAGGATGGTTTGTAGCCACCATGTGGGTGCTGGGAATTGAACCCCGGTCCTCTGCAAGAGCAGCTCTTAACCACTGAGCTATCTCTCCAGCCCTGAGAGAGAGAATTTAAAAGTATATTGTTTCAATTAATGAAGTACAAATTACCCTACAAAATATTTCTTTTAAAACTACATCTTTTTAAAATTTTTTATTTATTTGGTCTTTTTGAGACAGGGTCTCCCTGTAGCTCCAGCTGGGCTGGATTCACTAAGGAGACCAAGCTGTCCTTGAACTCACAGAGATCCACCTGCCTCTACCTCCCTAGTGCTGGGATTAAAGGCATGCGCCCGGCTTAAAACTACATTTTTTTTTACATTATAGTTCCTATGTGTCAGAAAATCTAGCTTGCCTAAGTCCTGAGGTTTTTTTTTTTTCACTTTTTTTTTAATTGAGCTTTTTAAATTTCATACCACCTTTCCCATTCAAGTCCAGACCCCTCCCCCATCCATGCCTCCCCCATCCCCCCACTGAACCCTATGCACTCTGCCATACATGTATTCTGCCCCAACCTTAGCTGAAGAACTATTGGCAACTGATTACTGCTGGGTGAGGGACAGTTGGTCTTCTTTAAGCAAGTAATACCAGATAGGCTGACCAAACTCCATTGGATGAACTCACATCAAAGGGCATCTAGGGACACAAACTTGACTCAGTAGATATTAACATATATGGCAGAACTCATCCATTTTTAAACAGGCAAAATCTCTGCCAACTACAGAAGGTATCTGCTACAGGAGAACAGGGGCAGATTTCAAGGGGAAAATACTGGTGCAAAGAGTATCCTAATCCTACTGGTGTGTGTTGGACTCAGCTGTTTGGGCAGTTCCTCTCAGGAGCAGCTTTCCAGGTGCTCTGCTACAAAGATGGGTCCAGGAGAGGATTCTCCTAAAGCCAAAATAAGTATCACTTATTTTCTGATACAAATAAAGACTTATGAGTGACTACTGGAAAAGGCATGTGAGGGGGATCCCTAACTGATCTAAATAAATAACAAAAAAGATGATCACTAGGCACGGCATTTCTTAAAAAAAAAAAAAAAACAGTATTTATTTACATTCCATTTACTTTCAAAAGGATAAAGAAGCAGAGAAAAATACACCCATAAAGGAAGTCATCTCATTTTACCAACTTCTGCTTTTCCAAAAGACAATAAAGATATCACTTAGATTTACAGGTGCAAGGGAACCCAAAGAATTTATTCACTTTCATCTTTAGCTAAGACTTAAATTATGCCTTTATAGGTGGATGAACATCTACTCTACTTAGAGGCAAATGCCAACCAATACACTGTAATACAAGAACCAGCTTTAGTAACCGTCACAACATGCGACAAATCTGCAATAAAAAACTATCACAAGACATTAAGAAATTTTGTGCAATAGCAAAAATGGAAAATACACAGGAAAAATCACAATCGGCAGTTAAGTCAATGACCTCACAGTAACAGCACCAGTGTTGTTCTTATTCAAGTATATACACTGTCCTTTAGACTTTGTTTAGCAAAGATATCAGTGATAAGGATGTACACGCAATTATTTTACACACCACAAAAAAATAAAATAAAATAAAAGAACAGTGATACTTTATCCTTGGATTTCAGTAACAACTCCAAACCTGTTACTATTGACATTATACAACTAAATTACATTTTTTTAATGATTTGTACATTAAAAACAACACTGAGTTTTATAAAAAATACTGACAATGGCTCAACGTTCTGTCAGCTAATCTGACTATTCTCTGAAAGCCCATATTTCAGTAATTTGTATCATTGGCTTTTCTTCTTGTAGTCATCACTCACTGATTCAAAGCCATCACCAGCATTGAGGTCTCTAAGTTCCATCACAGCAGAGCATCACATCCGAAAACTTCTGGTTCTTTGAAATGGCTGGAAAGGCTTTCTCAGTGCCCACATGAACAGCTGTGGTTTGGGTTTGGGTTTTTCAGGAAAAAGAAGGGCTTCGCTTTCTGGTGTAGGAAATCGCTCTTGGTAGACTTCAGGATAAGATTTCTGAAACTGAACAGGAGATCCAATGAGTCAAAAAAAAATCAATGAAGGGCCAGGAAAATTGTGCAGCCAAGAGTCTGATTCCAAGGGCTAAAGAGCTAACCCATCTTTCCTTTGCGCCAATCTTCAAATAAAGTTCTTTTAATCTCATTCCTTAAAATGTTCCCACTGTCAACCATAACTAGACCTCAATATGAAAAACATTGACAAGTAATTGAATTGAAAATAACTTAATCACTAAACAGTTAAAGAAAAATTTGGCCCAGGTTTTATTATCTCTCCGCTTCTCCAACTCAGCTTTGCCAGCTTCCACCCAACAAACAGAAAAGAGAACATTCTAGTATATATTACTCCATGGAAAACTTAAAGGGAGGCAATATAGTCTTCCTTTGATTTTTACCACTGAATTCTCTAACATTGCCAAAAGAAAAATGAGTAAAGAAGCCCAGAACCCTGGTGTTCAATGAATAATCCCATTAGGCTGTGAAACCAGTAGGGTCAAGTCTAAAATAACAAATAACAAGGTGAGAGTGGTGGTGCATCCTGATAGTTCCTGACTAGGAGGCAGAGGCAGGAAGATAGCTACCCCAAGGCTGACCTGGGCTACATAGTGAGTCTCAAAAAACAAATAGAAAACTAATGCTATTCACCTGAGGGATAATCAGTCTTTTAGGATGGTCAAAGTGCAGTCTAAAATTTGAATCTGAAACATCTCTGTCCTAGTTTGTTCTCCATTGCTGTGACAAAACACTCTGACCAATACCAACTTGGGGAGGAAAGGATTTATTCAGCTTACAACTCCCAGGTCACAGTTCATCAGGGAGCCCAAGGTAGGAACTCAGGGCAAGAACCTGGTGGCAGGAGCTGGAGCACAGGCCATGGAGGAACACTGCTTACTGGCTTGCTCCCCTGGCCCCTGCTCAGCCTGCTTTCTTATGCAACACAGGCCCACTGGCCCAGGGGTAGCACCACCCACAGTGGGCTGGGCCCTCCCACAACACTCATCAAGAAGATGCCCTTCAGACATGGCCACAGGCCAGTCCAATAGCAATTCCCCAATTGAGGCTCCCTCAACCCAGGTGTCAAGTTGACACTAAAGCTATCCAGCACAATCTCCCTCAGAATCCTGCTTTGAATACTTGGTTCCCAGCTTGGGGCACTATTTTAGGAGGTTGTAGAAACTTTGGGAGGCGGAGCCTGACTAGAGGAAATGAATCACTGGGAGAGGATCCTTGGGGGGATACTATCCCTAACCATTTCCTGTAATGTCCTCTGGCCCACGGTGACCTGAAAAGCTTCTCTGCATGCTCCTGCTACTGTGAACTGAAGTGCTTGCTCCATCACCCTTTACCTGCCACTAAACCATGAGCTAAAATAAATATCATTCCCTCTGTAATTCACTTCCAACAGACTTTCTTCTGAAGCAACAAAAAGTAACTGATACAGTACAGCTTTTTAAAATTGAAGACTGCTCTCTAAAACCCTAATGCTAGGAGGCTGGAGAAATGGCTCAGGAGCTGAGAGCACTTGCTGCTCTTGCAGAGGACCTGAGTTCAGTTCCAGCACCCACATGGTGGCTCACAACAATCCCTAACTCCAGTTCTGGGGGATCTGATGTGGTTTTCTGGCCTCTACAGGCATCAGGCACACAAATGGTGCACTTATGGGCATGCAGGCAAACACTCATACACATAAAAATTTTTTGAATTTTCTATAAAAATAATAATTTTTTTAAAAACCTAACATAAGGGAAACTAATAATTTAATGAGGCCTAAGGCAAGAAACTATTGACACTGGACATCTAAAAACAATGGCTCCAGCAAGATTGCTCAGGGAGGCAGAAGCACTTTTGCACAAAAAGCACTGACTTCTAAGAGTTGTCTTCTAACCAAATGTCACACACACACACACACACACACACACACACACACAAATAATAAAACCAATACATTCTAAGCTTTAGACATTTAAAATTTTATGAACTGGATCTGACTTTTCTTTCAAAAAAATTTTTTTTAGACATCTGTCTTCATGGTTAGCTTCTTTGAAGGAATTGCTTAGTTGATTCCCATTGTGTCATGTATCAAAACAAAGGACAAATGTTAGACAGTAGCTCTATAAAGAAGTGGTTGACAATGCAAGAGATCTGGGAAACTGACTCAGCATGTCAGTCAACCAAACATCTGCAACACAGTCCTAAATAACAAACTCTTAATACGCTGTCTCAGGGGATGAGATTTATAGGAAACCCATTAAAATAGAGAATAAAAAGAAGAAACAACAGAAGAACAATGGGATAAATTTTGAAGATCAGCCCTATTACCTGTTTCAGCTTTTTCTTCTTCTCTTTTTTGGACAGTTTGGCGTCTGCTATGACTTCTTCCAATAGGGCTGCCAGGGGCTCCTGAGAACCATACGCCCGCTGATGTTCAAATTCCTCAGGACTAATTTGACGGCAAAATGAAGGAGCAGACAAAGTGATATCCATATCCGCTCCAGGGTATTTTATCTGAGGCAAAACACAAAATTAGCTTACATCAGGTCCAGCAAGTGTACTACTGGAATAGAATACTTTCTCCAATCTTCTTGGGGGGAAACTATTTTTTCACATTTTTCAAAGAATATCATACCCTTTAAAGCCACAATTCTACTTTTTTACAATTTTGTTTTTACTTTTATGAACTTATGGTCAGTTTTAATAAACAACAACAACAATTTAAAAACCTATATGCCTCCTGTAATAAGATCAGAAATGTAAACAATTAGGGGCTGATAAGTGGTAAAGGCACTTCCTGCACAAACTTGGCTCCCTGAACTTGGAACCCACATAAAGGCGGAAGGAGAAAATAACTTCACAGAGTTGTCCTCTGACCCCCACACTTTTGTTATAGCATATATACCCACACACATGCATCACACATACACACATGCAGACTAATAAACTTTAAATAGAAATTAAACATATTGACTAAAACAATTCAAAGCAGGTATGTTTCAGATACACAGTGAATTATGTTGGCCCCTCTTACATCCAAAGGGTCTAATCTTGCCCCCTTTGGAGACAGAGGCTCACATTTAAATAAGCAGTTATATAGGGCACAGCACCAGGAGTACAGGCATTACTAGTGAGAATCAAGTGAAAAGAACAACACAACTGTGCAAAGGGGAAACAAGAAGAAAGAAAACAAGTCTAGAGATTTAAGAAGTAAACCACAAGCCAGGTGTGGTGGCGCACACCTTTAATCCCAGCACTTGGGAGGCAGAGGCAGTTGAATCTTTGCGAGTTCAAGGCCAGCCTGGTCTACATAGTGAGTTCCAGGACAGCTGGGGCTACAGGGAGACCCTGCCTCAAAAAGACAAAAAAAAAAAAAAAAAAAAAAAAAAAAAGTAAACCACAAACCTACACTTCTGTAGTGTATAAACTTCCCACTATTATAGTCACTACTTTGGTTTAAGAGCTACCACCCCGCTAAAAGCTCAGACTCACTGCCGAGAGGGGTAACCACTTTAAGCATGTGCCACATCTCAGTTATAGGTTTGCCAGATCAATTAAAGACGACCTAAGAGAGACAGACCCGTAAAAAAGAGGAAGAGGCCTACCTAGACACCTTTGATTTAAAGAAGGAGAAACAAAAACAAAGCCAAGAAACAGAAAGCATCTGGGATAAAAAGGTCTGGGTAGAGTACAATAGTCACCAGCTCAGGGCATGAGAAAGACACTAGACTCCTGGGACTGAAGGATGAAGAGCTGAGCTGCAGACAAGATGAACAGAAGGCTGGTGTCCCAACACTGTGACCTCACACATGGTCCCAGGCTTGACCCCGAAACTGCCTCAGAACAATTCACTGGAGTAGTCCAGGCAGCAGTGCGCATCTTCAGAGGAGCACTGACCAGACGGGATAGGATGAAGATGCTTAGCAGTTCAAGAGAAAAGAGCTCTACAGGGTCTGGATGCGAAAAATGCAACTGTTACTGCTCAGCAATTCTACTGAGTACTTCTAAGACACACAAAGTAGCCAGGCAATTGAGTCATTACTGATTTTATTCGGTGATGTCACAATGCCTCTTAACAGATCATGTTTTGTTGGGAAACCGTGCTGTTAGGGTTGTAGTTCTCCATGTCCAGATAGCCCTAAGGGGCTCGGCGCCAAATGGAAGGACTCCCCTTTTCAGCAGGGGGCCTCCT